AAAAAAAAGAGAAGAGCAACAAGCACTTCAAAGAAGAGATATAGAAGAGAACTTAATTCAACAACTTGGACAAGAAAATTTATTCTTTCTAATACAAAATGATGAAAAAGAAGATAAGGAGAATTTAGAAATTTTAACAAATATAGAGATATTTGATATGCAGATAAAAGATTATATAAAGAAATTAAAACAAGATAAAATATGGATTCAAACTTGTAGACAAAAAAATTTAAAGCAGAGATTACAACAAAGAAAGAAAAGTATAGAAGATTCTTTTTAACAAATCGAAAAATTATATATATATTGTGAAATCAAACCAAGAGAAGAAGAGAAATATCAAAGTGATGATTTCTAAAGAAGAAGAAAAAAGAGGATATAATGAGGATAAAGTGAAGAATTCTATAGATAAGGAAGAAACTTTATCTAACGATTACTTAGAAGAATATCTAGAAGAATTATATCGATACAAGAAGTGAATAACAGGTTTTAAAAAAAAGAACAAAACAAAAAAACTTCAAAGAAGAGAAAAAAGAAAAAATCTTAAGTATCTTTATAAAGAATTAACAAGAAGTTACCTTCAACTACAAGACATATTAGAGAAAAGAATTATAGATAGTGAAGAGAAAGAAGCTAACCAAACAGAAGACAATTTGAAGATAATATGAAAGAAACTTCTAAAGAAGATTTTAGTGAATTTAGAAGAACTTTTAATCCAACCAAGAAGAAGTAAGTAGACTAGAACAAACTGGAAAAGCAGAAAGAAAAAAGTAAAGAAAAAAACTTTATTACAAAGTAGAGAATTATTAATAACTAACAAAGAAGATAAAGAGAAAGAAAAGAGAAACATTGAAGAGTTAAGAGTCAAGTTATCTGCAGAAAAATATAGGGTAAAATGGAAAAAGAAAAGAAAGAATATTAGCTTAGAAATAAATAGTATAGTATTTTTATGAAAGAAAGATATTTTAGATAGCCAAATAGAATTAGGATTAGATAGATTAGAATTAGATAGTAATATAGCAAAAGGGTATTCAGGTAAACTTAATTCAACAAAACTAGATCGAGACCTCTTCAAGGTCTAAAAAGCTTCCAAGACAACTTGGTAAAAGCCTTCTAGACAGAGACTATAAAACTCTACCTAGTGCGGCAGACTACTTTTGGGTATCTATAGAGACAGCCAAGAGATGTTGGATCTAAATATTAAGCTCAACATTATGTAACTAGTTTTATATAATAATTTTAATAAAAGATCATTGGCAAGGTTGCCAAAGAGAAAAAAATAATAATAATAATTAAAACAAAAATTAAAAAATTTAAAAACTAAAAAAAAATTAAAACTAAGCCCCTAAGAAATTGCCTAGGTCTGAGAGCTAGTAAATTTGTGATTTTGATGATAATTACTATCAAAGTAGACCTTATCAATTGGTAAATATATGGTTAGTTAATTTTTTTGTCAAATGTTTTAGAATTTATAAAAACAGCTATAATTAAAGTGGGCTGTGTGAGGCTAGCAAAAATATTAACCTTAATTGCGTACTGGGCCCAGGCTGCAAAATTAGGAATAGGCCTCTATACTAGAGCCATGATGCAATAACTTTGATATTAAATCACTAGCTAGAAATATATCAATAGAAATTGACAATATTGAGGATTATTAGATTTGCCTTCAGGTCAAAACCAGTGAGTGGATATTTAAGTTTTGTTATACTGTATTAAACTTAACACTAAAAAATTAAGATATTAAACCAAATATATGTTTAGTTTTTTTTTTTTAATGAAATACTTTTAATATAATATTTTTAATTTTACATATTTTTTAAGCGGTATTATGGTAGACCGGAATATATAATGCAATTGGATACTGCTCAACAAAAAGTCTGCTGAAAATGTTTTTAAAATAATGCTTATGTATTTTTTTTTTTTTTTGAGTGTCTGATTTTCAAAGTAACACATTCATTTTATCAATGGTGCAAAATAATGTACCAGGGGAAATTTTTAATATAAACTTTAAAAAATATTCACTTCCGGGTTTCAATTTTATAAATAAATTTCGGCTAAATTTGGATTTCGGCAAGGGTTTCAGAATTCGGTGTAAGTTTCGAATCAGGGTTTTTGATTTTCGGTTTCATCAAAACCGTTAAAAGTTTCGGTCACATGTATAGTGTGATTCTTGAATGTTTCAAACAATAAAGCCTTCTTGCAACATTTATATAATCTAGATTGGAACTTATCCATTTTAAAATTTTAGGTTGTCGACATCGTGTGTTTAAAGCTAGTAAATACAGTCAGACCTCCTTAAATGTATACTTCCTAAATGTAGTGTTACAAATCAAAAATCGAATTAATCGATTAGTGTTGACAACTAATCGATTTGAATTTTACAGACCCAACTTAGTCGATTAATCGATTAGTCGACTAATCGATTAATCGATTGGCCAACTAATCGATTAATCGATTAGTCGATTGGTCAATTAATTGACTAGTCGATTGGTCGATTAAATCAACCGATCCTATAAGAATATCAACCGGCTGTTTCAGTTGCTACCTTACTTGTATTTTACCAAGTTTTGTTTATTATTTATTCAACTAATCGATTAGTCAACTAATCGATTAATCGATTAGTCGATTAATTGATTAATCGATTAATCGATTGGCCAACTAATCGATTAGTTGAATAAAAACCGATTAATCGATTAGTTGGATAAAATGATCTATCAACTAATCGATTGAAAAATTTTTATCACTACCTAAATGAATAAACTATGAAAGACCTCTCTAAATGCATGGCCTTATTTGGTCCCAACTCATATAACACTTATATACCTCCTTAAATGCAATACCTCTCTAAATGCAAGATTTTTTGGCCGCCCCTATCACTTGATCATTATCACAGCCCTTAAGATCACCATTTCATTATCACCTTTAACAGCATCACTCGTCATTGCATCACTCCATCATCATCTCGGCTATACATTTAGTGAGGTCTGACTATATTATTTTAAAAAATCGATCTTTATTGCTTGTTATGCTGGATACCTCAATAAACTTGCGAATTACATTTGAAAGTGAAATAATTTTGCTTAAAAATATTGTCAATATACTAACTAATAATATATATATATATATATGATAAACAAATAAATAAAGAAAACTTATACATATTTATAAGAAAATTTTGATCATAAAAAAATATTTTAATATAGTATCTGTTAAATCAAATGATTATTACCTCATGTTAAAAAGAAAGCAAACATAATCTAACACTTGCATACAATTCATGAATGATCAGCTGGAATGTTTCTTCGAAGACTCAAATCTTCTTCATGAGTTTTATTCAAAGCAGTAAATAATTTTATTTTCATGTTAGAAAAGTTTTGAGCTGTGCCTACTTGATGGTTTTTATGATATTTGACGATTGTCTTATAAAGATACGAAGGGGAAATGAAGGACACAACTAAATCTTGTTCGTCCGTTTCATTGAGTATGATAGAATTTACGAGGTTAACAGTAGCTGAAGAGATCTTGACAAAAAGAAAAGTAAATGTATCGTTATCAACCCTTTTGAGACCATTTTCATGCATATGTGAGTCAAATGGCATGTCAAAACTTTGAGCATTCTGAGAGGCATCTGCTTTGCCAACGTAATTTGGTGTTGCCGGTGGATGAGGGTCATTATCAAATAACGAGCGACGAAATCCCATTTTCTCGTACCAAAATAATTTATCAAGTTCAAATATTCCTCCTCGGAATGAAGAATGACAGAGAACTAATACTAACTTTGGAGAGATAACGTAAAAATGATGGTAGGGAAATTGAAAGGGTAATCCTTCGACTACTTTTCCAGACACCCCTTCAAAGGTTCCAAATCCGTTGTTTGTCATTAAAAATTCATCACTTTCGCCAGCTTGCCAAATTACAAGAAAACAATCAACCATACGTTGCTTATAATCATCTCTATCTATTTCAAAAACAAGTGGGTTGTCTTTTATCTCTTTATGTGGAGTCTTTAATATCTGAAAGATATTTTGTAACCAGACATCTCGTTCACTTTGTAAGTTGCACTGCCGCATGAATTCTTTTACTTTCAACCAAGTAGGGTGATCAAATTTCTCTTTGGTAAACTGAGTGCATCTATGGGGCTTACGATAGTCCATGACGAAAAGGAATTTGCGTAGATCATATAGATCACGTCTGAATAAAGTTATTTGTTTTTCGTTTTGAGATTTCTCTATAATATCTCGAATAACTTTCGATGCTTTGCATTCAAGAACTGATAGTTCTTTTTCTACATGCATTACTTTTTCGTTATTGAGATCTATGTACATATTGCTATACTCATAAGTGTCCTTGATTAAGGAGACACTTAGCTGATTCTCCTCTTTTTTATAAGTTTGGAGATGGAGTTGATTTTTATTATTCTTAAATGATAAGGCCTTATGTTGGTAATTTGGAGACATCACAAATTTTCTTTTATAATCATTAGTAGCAAAGTTACGTAGAATAAATCGTGGAATGTAGTGATGCTTTTCTTTTAAAGGACCTTGTTTGGCTTTCTTAGTCGTCATAATAAAAAAAGAAGGAAAGAAAATTTGCGTTATAGTGTAACAGACTTAAAAAGAGTCTTTATTTAATTGTGCCATTGAGATACGCAATTACTTAATAATTTTTGAGTTACGAATTACAAGATATTGAATAAAGAAAAAGTTCATATTAAAGTTAGTAGGGTTATATGACATTAAATTTCTGTTATAACAGAATTATTAATTCACTAATATTCTAATAATTTAGCATTCGAAAGACGACTAAGATTTCAGATTTTGGACTATCAAAACAGATTAAAGTCTATATAACTTCAACCTCAATTGTTACAAATGTAAAAGTAATATGAAATCCGACGTCTGTAGCCTTTAAGCAATCCTTTGGGAAACTTCAAATAAAAACCACTGTTCCAAACTTTGAATCAAAAATGGCCCTATATTTAACATATTTCAAGAAATAGAGAGCTTATAAAAAGGTACACTGCCTCAATATATTAAAATTTAATTCTCAATACTTTAAAACAACTTACTACGAAGCTTGAGTTGATACCATTTTATTGTAAGATTAGCAAAAATAGATTTCCTTTAATTATCAAAATAATATGAATGCATACTACCTTAAATATCTAAGGTGGTTAAGATAACTAGCTACTCCAGATACAGTATATCAAACGTCATAAAAAGGTCTAAATTAGTTAATTTTTTATGAAGAAACAGTTTAATATAACGATAATCTTTTTCATTTTGAGAAAAAAAGTGGAGATCCGAATCAGCATTTTAAAATGGATTAAAATTATTGTTATGATTGGCTATCCAAAATACGATTTACGAAATTTCATCAGTTGAAAATAACCATTCAAGGAAAATGGCCTTTCCAAAAATTTTTATCCACCATGTAGTAATTTCTTTTCATTGTTCACAAGTTTCAAAATTTACATGTCAGATTATTAAAAAAACAAAGTCCCGTTATCCAAATTCATTTCTACTAATTTCTAGATCTTTTTACAGTACTAATAATAATCTAAATTCGAATATCTCAGAATTTAATTCAGGGGTAAATTCCAATTCCATAGCTGAAAAAAAAATCCCAAAGTATATAAACAATAAACCGAACCTACGAAATGCACGACCTCCAAAATTTAAAAAACCCGAATTTATGAGAAATCCGCCTCCATCAAGGTCGTTATCAAATGAAATTACAAATATAAGTACCGAAGTAAAAAGGAATAGAAAGATACCATTTTCACAACAGACGCCTCAAGAAAGAATTAAAAGAACTAGACGGTATGAGAGGAATAAAATTATTTATAAGGATTATAGGACTGTTAATTTTGAATTGCTAGAAGGTATCATCTCTTTTTTGAGGCAAATAGGTATTCTAAATTATAGTTCGCTAAACTATTTTTTTCATCGTTTCTCACTTGTATGTGAAAAAAGACTTTCCAAAATGGTTGAAAGGTTTAAAATACCAAAAATACGCACCATGTTTTGAGGGGTTGCATTGGCGAGAAATTATAGAGTTAGATGAACTTGGATTATTATACAGTGGTGTTTATAGGTTAGTTGTTAGAAGAAATTTGTTAATGGAGTTTATGTTTATTAAACGAACTTTGGTAAGTTTTTGAATTTTATCAACATACTGTTTCTGTGATAGGTGAAAAAGATGATTAAGGCTTTTCACTTCTTTAGAGTGAGATGGACAAAACATTTAAAAGTCCTTCAGCCTTGACAGTAACTTCCCAATTAACATCATTTCAAAGCAATAATTCATCCACACCTACTCTTAGTTCTCAGCCAAATAGTTTTTCATTGTTGCATTCAAAACAGGAATCAAATCAAAATTATGAAAATAAAGATAATAATGTGGATGATGAAGAAATACTCACAAGTATAATTCTTGCAATCAGAAACAACAAAAAATCAACTTAAAAATAAATAGATTATTAAATGAAAAAGTTGTTGCATTTTTTTAATATTCAATATATGGCTAAATGTAGTGAAGGATAAAATAACTAAAATAACTAGAGAGGAAGATCGTACTTGAGCAGATTTAAAAGTATATAGCTGGATAAGTAATCTTTAAAAATGCAAGCCACAACGATCATAAAAATCAATGAATAAGTTTTCGAGATCGATCTTCCAAAACTTCGGCATATGGAAGCAGAAAATTCAAAAACGATATGAAACAAAAAACGCAGCAGCATCTGAAGCTTTGGCTTTTGGAAATAATATTTGCGTTAACATTAAAAACAATTCACTTTTTTGATTTACCTTTCCTTTTTCAGTAATTATAGTCATGTAAGTGTGAAAGATTATATCGCACCTATTCTTCAAGAGTCTATTGTAATGCAATTTTGCTTAATATGAATATTCGTGAAATTACGCGCCTAATTAAGGTTGATTCGGGTCGCGAAATAACGCACAGGATATAATTTCGGATTTTGGATTAAGCTTAATTCGGGCCATTATTCGAAATAACGCGCACCTATTATTTCGCAATATAAATTTCACTTATCAGTACCATTACGACGCATTTGTCAAATTTAACTAATTTTTGGTCCCCAAATTTAAGTTTTAGTGCCAAAGTTTATTATTTATTTTTTGAGATTGAACCCCCCAAAAGAATTACCCCATTTTCCAATACGTCTAACACATTTTTTCCAATAATCCATTTTAAATTTCTGCACAATTCAGATAATCCATTTTAAATTTATCATTACATATATGTACGAACGTACAATTTAATAATTTGCA